GTACTTAAGCGCTTTTGGCACGATTGATCAGTACCAATTCGCAAATAAGGCAACAAAATGGTTTCTCGTGGTGTTTTAATATTGTCTCTACTGCTATACCGTAAAGAATCTATTTTTATAGCTATGGCTTACCTTGAGACTGAAAAAAATATGTTTACCCAAGGCTTTTTAAAAGGTCAGTAATGTTCGAAATGAACGCCGAACACGGGATTAAAAAAGGACACTTTAATTTTTTTTAATTTTTTTTTTTTTTTTTACTACTTCATTATTGTTTTTAAATTGCTGAAGCCAAGTATGTACACTAAAAAACTCTTTATCGTCAACAGAAGAGGCTCCTGACATAGAGGAAATTGCAAACAGAGGTAAGAACGCTCACAAAAAAATTGACTCTCCATGCAGCCACACCGTAAAGCCACATAAAAGGTCATCAACCTGTGGAAGATTATCTTCAATTTTCTTAAATGGTGTTTGTATTAAAAGAGCTGCCGCAGTCCCTTTATGTTCTTGATACGCGATCAGTAATTTGTGATCCTTAACCATTTAAGGAACGATGTTTCTCTATATATTTTGGATAGATAGATTAAGCTGTTTAAAAAAAGGACGACACAAAAAATAAGGGAATGGTAGTCAATTATAATAAGCACGTAGAATTGAAAACCAGACTCCTAAGAAATAACATTAAAATGCGTAACATGCGCTCATGAGGTGAAAATCTAACAGTATAATTAAGAATATAATGATGATGACAGTTGAGGATATTTAGATGCAAAGTAATTTCAAACTGAAAGCCGATTTTTTTTTCTTTTTTGTCACGTGATTAGAGTACGACACAGTTCATGGTAGAATCTTAGCTGTCAACATGGCTACTTTGGGAAAAAGAAGGCTGCAAGGAAGACCAGAAAATCCATTTGAAAGAATCGAAAACATCAATGACCGTGAGTAATTTTTGCGAATACTAATTTTTGTCATTGATATTTAAGCTTGTAATAATGCCATTTTCAATGTAACAGCGTCGTTTCGGCTTATAAATAGTTATAAACAGTTATAGATAGTTATAAATAGTTATGAATAGTTATAATAGTTTCTGCTTATAAATAGTCTCGGAAGGGGTAGCATGAGTTATGTTCAGATGTTCTGTTTCTCTTTGACGACAATTATGAAACTAGGTGTACATACTATCCTGCAGATGATGATCTTAACCTRTACCAGGGTGATATYCAACTGGATGAMGACTTAGAAGAACTCCTTCACATGCCGAATAGGACTATCACAAAACGAAATGCCGTACGCAAAAAAGCTCTACTTTGGACATCGAGAACAATTCCATATTTGCTGCCAGGATACATGGGTAGGCTTCTTTCTCACAAGTTTAAAAACTTAAAAACATGAGACATAACATAAAAAATARCTTCAAAGCCATTTTTGACATTTTTCATAATTTCCCGTGCATGTATTCTTGGTAAATGTTGCGTATTTTATACAATTTGTACGTTTAAAGAATCCCAACCAACCACAATACAGCGCACGCTCGTGTTATTGTTTATATACGTTTAAATGCGTCAAGCATACAATAGATTATAGATTGATAGTACCTGTGAGGTAATTAGCTAAATATATTTCTGTGAATGGATGGAAGACGATTAGGGCGCACTTTAAGAAACCCTACGAATCCGCCATTTCGTGTCCACCTAAAATGGCGCTTTCGCTCGCACGGTACAGAGGTTGGCTGTGATTTTTTGGTGATTGTATGTAAATTCTTTTTGCAGCTYATATCAAAGGGAACCTTTTGACTGCAATTAGCCATTTCCACAAGCACACTTGTATTCGTTTTGTTCCATACAAACCAGGTCTGCATAGGAACTATATCAAGTTTAACAACAAAAATGGGTAGTTATTACTTTTTTGTTACTACACTTGTAAACTATTTTCGCGAACTGTTTGGCTGAATAGAGTAATGTCAATAATGTCAGGACGTAAGTAAATGTACATTGCTCCTGATAAGGAAAGTAAGGTAAACATCAACCATCATGATACTGGGCTTTGAGCGGGTATAAAAGAGTTTCCTCTATCCAAATAAAACTGCCCCTAAACCAAGGTCAAGAGAGGGAAGACATGACGATGATGATAGATCATCCTTTATAKATCCAGTCAGGCACCCATTTAAGAAATGGGGGGAGGTTCGTTTTTTCATAATGCTGACCTAAATTAAATGTTTAACTAAATTAGCTCAATGCACAGGTATGGTGTGTAAGAAATGGCTGCTGGAATGAGCAGTTCATAACAAAACAACCTCAAAAACAGTTCATAACAAAAGAATTTTAAACTTGATCATAGAGAAACACCGGAACTCTTACGCTTGTGGGGGGTTCGGTGCCTGAAAAGTTGTTGTTGAAATTTSTAATGTTTAGACGATATTATTCATAATTATCATTGAATCAAACAATAGGTGCTCCTCTAAGGTTGGCAAAAAATACCATATGCCTGGTGCCCAAGGTTTGTCTCTTGGTCGGGGATGTGAAAATTTGTAGGCACTATATTGCATGAGCTACTTCACGCATTAGGTGAGTCAGAAAATTTTTTTTTTTTAAATGATTTAACTATCATTAATTAAATTCTCTTTAATATGAGGCTCGTCAAATTAAATATATTTTCTAAAATTGATTCTTAATAGGAACTGTTGTTGCAATTATTTGCTATTCCTTTAAATTTCTAGTACATATAATAGCCTCGTTTATATGATAGCCTCGTTCCTAGGATAAAAAAATAAACAATCAATTTAAACATAGATTCGAGGCTATTGACGCCTGTACTGGAATTTTAAGTATAGTCAATGCACATTAAGCATTTCACCATGTATAGCTGCTTTCGTCATTGAATATTCGTAAGTTCGATCAAACTGTCTTGATAAGATCGATATTTAAGCTGTATTACTTTTTCAGGTTTTTGGCATGAGCAAGCTCGACAAGATCGTGATAAATACGTCAAGATATATTGGGAAAACATACAAGAAGGTAAACGAAAAATTGCGCGTGTTTTAACGTAAAAGTTGACGTTCCATTTATGGATCTTACACTGAAAGAAACTCATTGATCAAAAGCTTTGTGAGAATGCATGCAACTGGTCTAAAGAATGATTCTTTAGAATTTCCTTCACATTAATCATATGCACATTGGGTAATTAAATGGATCTTTTGAGTCAAACACTTTTAATAATATTAAAGCATAAAAGGGAATATACATCTGGTAACTTTCATTGAAGATTATGCCGGTGTTTGGCACATGAAGGCGATTTCTTTTTGGCAAAGAAAATATTTTGCGATAAAATTTTCCTACAGTGTGAAATATAGTGAATGGTTATATCTGAAAAATGTTATATGAATTGTACATACATTATTTATTTTCGTGAAATAAACTTGTTGTTGTTGTTGTTGTTTAATATTGTCCAGGATTCGCCGATCAGTTTGACAAGTATTCTTGGAAGACCATTGACACATTAGGGAAATCCTATGACTACGATTCTATCATGCATTATGATCGAAGGGCATTTTCCAAAAATGGCAGGCCAACTATTGTGGCCATTGGTGATGAAAAACGAGATTTTGGATCCACAAGAACGTTTTTGAGTACTAAGGAYATCATTGAGATCAATACATTGTATAATTGTAAAGGTAAGACTGTTTTGACACATGTGTTTTCCGATGTTTTGTAGCCAAACATTGTTAGAAGGCGAATTTTGGTGCCTGCAAAATGCTACAATATAATGTTAATCAGTGGGTGTAACCTTCATTCYTATTAATGCTCAARCAGCAAAACAATATGGCTGGTCTTCATGGTCTAGTTATACCCCATGTAACAAAGAATGCTACAAAAGCCGAGAACGTTACTGTTATAATCCGGGAAACGTAAAGTACTGTGGAGGAAATACTAACGTGTATGGGATTGACATTGATCGTAAGAAGTGTACGAAAAGAGAATGCCTTGGTGAGTGATGTCTCTGCATTTGTCACGCCTGACGAATACTCTAGAATAAGACTTCTATATGTTTGATTTAATTTGTTCTCAATTCAGAGAGTAACATCTTTATGACCCTTAGCCTTCGCTTATAAAACAAGCGTTCATTACATCATGGTGCATCAATTCAATATAATCTACACTATTATTCGTTTGGTGTTTTTATTATCATTATATATTCATTTTCCACGCACTAATACGGAACTTTTGTAAAATTTCCTACAGCACGCAATGCCATCCACGGTCATTGGGGACACTGGAGCAAGTGGTCGTCTTGCAGTGTTACATGCAATGATGGCGTACGATCACGTGAACGACTTTGTAATAATCCTGAGCCTTCCAAATATGGTAAAAAATGCCCTGGTAAATCTAAAGAAAAAAGCTTGTGCACTCTACGAAGGTGTCATCCTGGTAAGCATGCTCATACTAAACCAATGTTTTGTTCACATCAATTTGTGAATAACGTTTTGAAGTTTTACTAATTTCYTTTAACTGGAAATTACATACACTTTGCCATAGTTATGACAGGAATTTTAAACTCTTGGTCGGCCTTGCTCCTCATTGCTAATAACAACTTAAATTTAAACTCATTGACAATGGCAGTATTAATTTTAGGTCCTGATGATACGGATTTCGATAACCCTAAAAGTCCATTTGGTATTTGGAGAAATAAACCTGGTGCACAACTAAAGTGGATACGTCACAGGCCATTCTCACAGACAATGAACACTGGTCCAATGTATGATCATACTTTTGGCAATCCCTCAGGTACAATGTCTGTGCGATTTCAGTAAATATTGCTCAAAACCACTCAAAATATAATGCAATTCTGAGTCGATTTTGAGCCTCTTTGGGTGATTTTGAGCGACTTTGGGTTCCGGAGTAGACGCCAGGGTGATATGCCACGTCCTACAGAATGGAATATTGAACTTTTGTAGTTTGGAGATGTTGGACGTGTCAACTCCTTTGAGAACCTACTATGGCACTTCATGCATGATCCGCACATTCAGTTCTTT